CAATGGTTTAGAACATATAACAGCACTAGATGACAATTTCTCAGAGTTGCAAGTTATGCAAATGACAAAAACATGATTTTATAGTCTAACAGCACACTACTCAGAAAAACCTCACCTTCAGCCCGTATTATTCATAGTATCCTTCCGCATTTAATTGCAACTGGCACAAGGTATTTCTTGAAACATTTGTAATAACTCAGACACATTGGCAATTTTGTACAGAAAGCACTCGATAAGATGGTGAGAAAAATCACTCAGGAATGTTCAGTGTCAGAGCACTTCTTGCCTGCAAGTACCTTTGATCAACTTGTTAGGTTCAGTATTTGTTTAATGTGAACAGTATTTTTCAGTGGGTTTAACTATTTCTTAACTGGACTTGAAATATAAGTGGAAAAAGTACTTCTGGAATAGCAGATACAGGGAGGGGAGAGTTGGTAGGTCTGAAAGGAACAGCAAGGCGGTGAGCCGCTCTCAGCTTCGTTAGCAGGCTGTTAAAGTGAACATGGTCACAGCAGCTCTCAGAGGTTTTCCAAAAAACGTCCCAAGTTTGGATGTACAAAATTTTGAAGGTCTTCCCTTATCGCACTCTTCTTGCACTCTTGACTGATAAATTAAACACGAGATCCTCACATTCATGTGTAAACTTTATCCAGATGCAATTGCTGACAACAATTTCTCCAACTCCCATACCCAGGACTTCAGGAATACCCTCTCTCTGTGTCTCTCTGGGCTCTTACTAAATTCCTCTTCGTATTAATAGCAACAAAATTCATCCTTTCCTTTCCCCATAAACTTTTCTTTGTCATTTGCTCGCTGCTTTAACTAGAATAGATGCTACATTTTCTCATCTTTCTTCCACTCATTACACTTGTAACACTCCCACAAACCAGTTCCCACCACATCAGCCCAGCCCCAGTCCCTCCATGTCTCTTGCCACAATAAATTCTCATTTCTCATCTTTAGATTGTACTTCTCTGCCTCCTTTTCTTCCTATCTTTCTTGTCTTATTTTTCAAATTTACACCTTTCCACTCCCTAATCTCTCTCTAAGGCTGGGCCAGATTCCTACTCCTCGTCTTCCCATCCCGCTCAAGAGCCAGTCCTCAACAGCATCGTTCTGCCTTTTGCACGGGGCTGCCTTATCTTATGCTTGAGCTTCACACTGTTTAACCCGTGACCCTCAAGAGCAATTTATTAATACTAACATTTCTCAATTTTGTAAGTACAACGCCATACATTAGAAGCCTTTGATATAGTGCTGTACAGTTCGAAATTCAAACGTAGCACATAAAGAAACCTTTTTTTCCCTCATAAAGGCAAAAAAAATGCATTTTGTAGTGCAGCATATGCTAGCATAACTGCCTCTTTGTGTAACATTTCAATGACAACGTATCAGTTTTTCCAAATTTTTGTTTCTCCAAAGTTTTATATCAAATTGGCCCTAGTCCAGATTAGTCTCTTCCTATCTTGCATACTGAAGGCAGCCTTTGTTTGTTTTGTGTGCAACATAAAATAATAATTCCTGATCCAAAGACACAGTTTCTTCAGCTTAAAAGCAACAACTCAACCATTGAGCTGTTCACAAAGAAGTACGCCATAACAGTTTTGAAACATAAGAGCTGTATGTCTTACTCATGGGCAGCCATTAACATCATCCGTTTTCCCAGATAAAAATAACTGAAGAGATTACATTTCACTTTCCACCTTTTGTTGGAATCTTGGGGTTCCTTTTGATCTCAAGTTATCCATGAAGGATCATCTACAAGCTCACTACCAATGCATCTCTTAGGAGCCTAGAAATTTCTTGACTTTAAGATGTGCAATCCAAAATAGAACTTGAAAAGTTCCACGGTTCTGTGTGGTCCACAGCACTGACTACTGCTACTGCTACTCTGCTACTGTTACTACAGAAATATCAGCTCTCAGACTGTAACTAGTTAAAAATTTCCAGTCCCACGTGTTTAACAATTGTAGGGCTCAAGCATATTAACTGACTTCTAAAAAGTTTGACTGACTTCCAGTGAGAAGCTCAGAAGTTGGTTTTTGACTCTGCATATCAAAATTAAAACGGCAGATCCTTCACTTCTATACTTATTTCTAGTTCTTATCTTAAAAATAAATAAATAAATAAATACCCAAGCCCTAATGCGCGTTGTTGTCTAGCTTCAATGTAGCAGAAAGCTAGTCTAAGAAAGCATTTTTATTCAATTTTTCCATAGAGCATGTATAACCTAAACAGCTTATTTTTAATTTGTCATTTTACTGTGTGAGCAGCAAGGAAATGCAACTGGTTCAAGTTCACATAAATCTATAATCACTGACTTATTTAAAATTAGCCAGGACACTTATTCACATGTTTCTAGTGGGTTCAAATTAGAAATCAATAAAAATGTCACCTTTAGAACAACAGTCCTTAGACCCACTGCCTTTCATGTTCTACGGCATTTTACTCACTGAACTGAGAAAGAGCAGCCACACATAAAGACTTTAACACACCTTTTCCCTTTTCACTAAATAAATTTATCTCCCAGGACAAGTTGTCACACATTGCCAACAAGACAATAGAAGCAAAATTTTCTGATTTAAAAGCCCTAATATGGCTATAAAAATTCATTGCAGTCATGATAATTGCTTAAAATAACCAATAAACCTAATTACAATTACCTCCTGTCTGTCTAACCGGGCAAAGGCACACATGAAGAATCACACAAAAAGCCTCAATTATTATTGCTCAGACTGCCAAACATAGTTGAGCAAAACGTGAAACAAAACAAAGGAATACATTTAGTTCAATGAATATCTCAATAGGTCCTGACACTAGTTTTAGAGAATGCAAGAAATGCAGTGTAATTTCGCAATCTAGCTGCCATCACTAATGATTACAATTTGCCAGCCTTCAGAATGGGGCACGTTGCAATCTAAAGATGACAGAAATCAATGTTTTAAAGGCTTAGCAAATTTCTAAGTGAATCTTATCAAAGCATATAAAGTTCTAAGCCAAAGACAAGCAACACAAATCAGGAAACATTTACAGTCATTACAGAGCTCGCTAACAAGGCAAGTATGTCATGATCAAGGGCAGTTTACGAAGCAAACCCTGGTAGCCCTGAGCGCACAAAAGATTTGTGACTAAAATAAACCATTATGCTGCAGACAATATCCACTGCACGGAACGGCGTCAATACAGTGTAACTGCATGAGTTGGCTTTTCCCTTATAACACCGCCCAACATCATGCGAACGGCGTGGCACGGCAGCTTAAGAGCCGCGAACACGACGACAGCTTTCTCAGAACTGGGATACTCAGAGTCGCTGCTATCTAAGCACACCTATTTCACCCTTCACTTGAAAAGTCCTTCCCAAATGAAAGAAGACACACCCCACTAATTAGCACCATTTTTATAACCTCTGTTTCTTGAATGAGGAGTTTCTACACAGTTGCTCTTTTGAATTCAAGGAAAACTTCAAACCGTTCAAAGTTAACATATCCTTGTAGGAATCCAACTTTGTTCCCACATGTTATTGAGGGTCTGGTCTGAACGTCTAATTAATTAAATTCCAAGAAAGGCATTTTTCATCTTTTGAAATTAGGAAAAAGCTTTACAAAGAAAAGGAATCCTAAAAGGTACCGTATGAGCCATCCAAGTCAAGCAGCTATAAAAGTTAAAACGGCACTTGACAATCATTAATTGTAAGAATAAATTTCTTCTCTTCTGAAGTCTGCAAGCTCTCCTCATGAGTCTGTCTGTAATGACAGGCAGTATATGAATACAGAATAACCCAAGAAACAATTTCTGCCTAAACGAAATTGTTAAACACCGGAATTTGAGAGAGAAGTCTGTAATGGGTTCGGCAAACGCATATAAGAAGTTCCCAGGATATCTCTCTGCTAGCAAACATATGATGTCACCGCCTTCCAAAAGCCCCTCTTCCCAAAATCTTCAGAATTACAAGAGTCACCATCGATGACTTTACAAGGATGGAAGAGAAGGTATCAATTTTATCACCCCAGTCTGTACTGCAACACATTGCCTCTGTCTCACGACTTTTACTCATGAACCTTTTCATCATCATCAAAGAATTCTACACTTGCCCGACTCTACTGAGGCCCCAGCAAATTGTTACAGAAGGCTGGAACACAACTCTTACGTTGACAGAGTCACAGAACGGTCGGGGTTGCAAGGTTGGAAGAGATCATCTAGTCCAACCTCCCCACCACAGCAGGGTCACCTACAGCAGGTTGCACAGGATCACATCCAGGCGGGTTTGGAATGTCTCCAGAGAAGGAGACTCCACAGCCTCTCTTGGTTGTTTCCTTTTTTGTAGTTTCCATGACTCTTTACACAACTCAAACTTTATAAAAACCACAGATAATTCTTTAATAATTATTAATAATTATTAAATTATAATTATTTATAATTATAAAATCAGTTCTAAACGAGTATGATCACGTAACAGAAGTATTGAGTATTTAGAAAAAGCTAATGCACAAGGCAGCATTTCGATAAATTCACTACTGTTACGTATTTGAATGAGATTATAGGGAATATGACACAAAAAAAATCAAATCTATACAATCACATGGTAAAAATGTTTGCGTGTGCAATATTTGACATCAGTTTGAGAAACAATTAATTACAAAACTAAAGTATACGGTATTGACTTGGTCATCTGCAAAAGAATGAACATTAAAAGTACCAGATGCCATTCTACTATGGAGGGGATATATAAAACTACCCATTTTCCTGGGACTATCATACAAGAAATTTTGAGCACAGCACAATGAAACACATTTCAGCCTCTGCTTTACAGCTGCTTCCAACAGACCTGTAGTCTCTTAAGATAAATTTATTAACGTAATAACACATAATTTGTAAAAAAAAAAAAAAAAGAAAATTCCTGAAAGCATTAAATAGGCAATGAATCTCAGCACCAATTTTAAACAAGATACATTTCCAATGGATCTTACATACCTTTAGTCTTGAAAGAAAGGATTACTTACTTGGTTGGCCATGTAAATTGTGAGGAGACCTCTCCTATAAACAGAAATGATAAAATTAAAATTAGTGAATGAATTGAACACTGAAGAAAAACACTTTAAGCATTAAGAAATTAATGCTTACATTAAAATTAAATTAAAGAAGACAAACAGTTTAAAAAAAAAAACCCAGATTACTGATGGAGGATGAATCACGACCACCCTATAGTAAAATAAGTACGAAACCAAAAATAGGACCTTGATAGCACAGTATGCAAAGTGAGGAATTACTGGAACCGAGCTATATATAGCAACTTGCTACTGCATGAGTCCTGAATCCTTCGTGAAGGGGCAAGGCACCTTGAATTACACACCACTTAGCACAAAATAAAAGCCTACACACAAGCTGGTAACGTAGGCATACAAACAGGGGCCAAAGCCTAAGCTAAATTGCGAATTTAAAGAAAAACGCTTGCGCGTAAGCTTCTGTTTTGTGATCAGTGCTGTGTAACCGAAGGCACCTTTGCCCTTCTGCTTACATTATCCTAAGAAGTGTTTTTTTACTGAGACTGATGATGCAGAAATCTTGGTTCAAACTAGTATGTCCTGCCTGTTCGAATTGAGTCACAATGCCAACAGTGCCAAGGCACAGAGCCACCATTTTCTCTTCTAATCTTTATCTAATTTTATTCCCCCCCCCTTTCTATTTTTGGATCTGTCCCTATGTCTCAGCCCATAGCTTACACTGCTATTTAGATAGGAAAAGTATAAACTGGAGCTTATGCCCTCGCACTTCTGCAGGTGCTACTGCAGCACGAGACCAAAACTGAACTCTTGACTACGCAGATGTGAGCTGCTCTAGTACAGACTGTATCGGATGTCACTGTAGGGTCCAGATGAAAAACACACCATTATTTTCTGTACATCATTTGCAAGTCACCATCAGTGTTGAGAAAGTGGAAAACCTTACCACTGCGGATTTGCTCTGCCCTCGTGCCTTCCTCCTCTTCTGCAAAGATTAGCTTAGAGACTACAGCCAAAGGTTGGAAAACTCAATTTCAGTATTTCTCACTGGAATGCTGTTCTTAACTTCTTGATTTTATTGTCAACCTTGTAGTATTTGGGATTTTTCTTACTGTCTCCACTGCTGTCACTTAGAAAACTTGAAAATAACTTGGAAGGCACCACATGTTTAACCGTTAAAGTTTCTCAATACGGAACTGAGTTTATAACCTTATCTCCTCTTTGTCTTCACATCATTCAGGATTTTTTTTATATTGCTACTACATGAATCACAGAAGGTCCAACCCAAGCTTGTATGTTCCATTTTGTCATGAGACTTGAAGTTTTCAAGCATTCTAGAGTGCTTAAGAGAATGGTGTATTAACTGAAGAGATCTTGCTATCACGTCAGTTAAAGAAGCACGCAAAACAAAAATCTCAGCTAGCAGGAAAGAGAGAAATTCCTATTGCATAGTTCCAGGCTTCAACCACCTGAAAAAAAGTCTATTCAGTATTTTCTATACCCATGTTTAGGTGTTTATAACTTTGCCGAGTTACGCATCCAGATCAAGGTTTTTCACAGCAGATATCTAAGGCACAGAGTTATATTCCACTTTAAAGGTTTCAGAGCTTTCACAGCACGTTGAATTTGCAGGAAGCGATGACGCACCATCCAGAAGTTGCTCTCTATTCACAGGGAAGGTTCAAATTGGGCTTAACTTCAAAACTTTATTTAGCAGTTATCAGTTTGGAGTTTGTTTTGTTTTTAAAAAAGCAGAGTTACAAATCTATTCTTCATATACCTTCTCTGCCTACTACCACTCTGTATGGTATTAGAAACAAGACACTAACACAGAAACCCAAGGGAAAAAAAAAACTTAATCTAAAAATTTGGTGAGCATGAAGCACACAAGAAACAAAAAGACAACAGATGGGGAATAGGTCCGTAAATGATAAAGCAAAGAGACCTCAACAACTTGTAATAAAGCATCAAAATACTACATGATGTTTCTGACTAGGAAGGGGTAAAAATTCACCTCATGTAAGAGATTAATTGAACTCTCAAGCTGGTCAGTAAACAATCCCCATGTCTTCTAGCCAATTAGCTCAGACGATAAAATAATACTGGTGTCCTGATCCTCCTGATTACCAAACTGGCAGCCAATACAGTTCTGTCTACTGTAAATTTTAATTTGTTCTCATGGGGAAAAATACTGGATATTTCATGTTTCTTGGATATTATTTTTTTAACCCTGCAATAGTATTAGAAGTTTAGGATAAATATTCAAACACTCAGCTGTTTGGAAACATAGAATTAAATTCACCCACGACAGCTAATCTGGTAACTCAATACACTTCGAGTATTCTGGAAAACATCAGAACTTCGACAACGTCCTGCAGTAACACACTTACCTGCGAGAAGCCACCACCAGCTACTGAGTGACAGACGCAGCTTTAAGAGCGCAGTGTGTACCTTCACAGCTGTATTACACAGTGTGCACAGCACAGCATGACTGCTGGACGTGCACATCATTTACTTGGCGGATTCTCTCCGTCAGTCTCTATGTCAGGCAGGCAGGGTCTTTTAGCCTCCCACTGAATATTTTTTGTTTAAGTATTAAAAAACTAAGGATTTGATCTAACAAAAGTTTTCGTTTCTATTGTGGTCCCTTTCGGCTAAGTGTAAAATGCAACTTGCCAAGTGCAAAGACAAAGAAAGGAAAAAGGGCTTGAGAAGAGGAAGGAAAGAAATCAGAAGCTGCAGTGCAGTAGTAGGTGTTCGGGAGGAGGGAAAACGTGCAGACAACAAATACACACAAGGAAGGAACTTCCATGGCTGAAAATAGGGAAAGTTGCTAAATGGCATCATCTGAAAGCGCCTGCAGAAAGCACGTCTCTATCTGCCGCCGTACAAGGCCCTGTCTGACTCCAAGCAGAAAGTTTGCTGCCTCCAAATTAAGTCTGTGACCATTTTAAAAATAAATAGCCCCATGCTTCTGGAAATAAAAAAGAAAAAAAAAAAAAGGGGTGGGGGGACTCTTCCTGGCACTGTGCAAATGTGATCCAGCAAGCCTAACCCAACCCTGAACTCAACTGTTGAAAGTGGGTGGAAGTTCAGAAAATGTTGTATTATTTTGTAGCAATGACAGCTGATGGAAAACAGGACAGAAAGATGGAGACAGGCCAAGCAAAAGGGTCACTGGTACAACCCAAGGACTGTCTTGAAACTGCAGCTGGTAAATAAGAGAAGAATATAATTGGGAAATGGTATTACTAGAGCAGGAAATAATTAAACAACAAAAATAATTAGCCATGTCTAACCACCTGCTTTGGGGAGGTTTAAAGATACTAATAAACGGCTAACATTTCACCCTTAAAGTCCATGAACCAGCGTGGAACGTTAATCTCGGGAGCACCAACACCAGCAGGCAGTTACACCCGTGGTGGCCCAGCGAGGTCACCGTGGGAAAGCCCACGCAGATGCACACAAATCCTTACTGCCCCCTCCTCCTCCAGCGTCTCTCTCTCATGACGTTTTCTTCCAGAGGCTGCTCTCATCGAGATCTTCATT